GACTCCCAAATTATTTTCAAAATCATTTATTCACATCAATTTTCCCGCCAAGTAAAAAAATTCGTGCCCGGACGAAAACTGATTACGACAATATCGATACCCTCATTGTCCTCTACACTTACTCTTGCTTTAAAGCTTAAACCATACCCTTGGTATTGATACTGGCCTTACAGTATCAATATTGGCCTTACAGTATCAATACTCTCTTTGCAGTATCGATACCATTCTTAAGGTACCGATACCCCTATAGCTATTTCATTCATTTTAACCCAACTTTAAACACCTTCTATAGCACTTATTCTATTGTTTTACACTTATTCGATCCCATTTATGGTCATACTATGGATCTAGGGCCTTTCGGGCAATGTTTTGGCCAAAACAGACTGAGCCCAAGAGTATCGATACTCGTGCAAAAGTTTCGATACTTTATATAAGTACCGATACTTTAAACATTTTGTTCTGCCCAATTTTAAAACTTTCTGGGTTCAAATCTATGACCTGAAGCTTCGATACTCTTGAAAGAGTATCAATACTCTTGCCTAGAAACTCATGAATTTGCCCAAAACGAAGAACAAGTATCGATATTATCCATATAGTATCAATATTTGCCTGCAGAAGTCATAAAACAAGTACGAAAAACTTTATTTCTCAATCCCAAATACCTTAGTGAGGTCCCCAAACATGCTTAAAGTTTTATGTGAATACAAGGAGCATAAATAAGGCTTTATATCATGCTTATAACATCAAAAGAACAATCTACCATGGAAATTGCTAAACATACTTTAAACTTAACTTTCTAGCACATCTTAACTTTCCATGATCTACACTTGTTATGAGAAAGCTATAAGTGTGTTACCTGACCTTCTTGGTTGCTAAACTCCTCTTGAATCAACTAGGATTTACCTTACCTTTATCCTTTGTTTTGAAAATCTTTTTACCTCTTTAACTAAACCAAGCAAGGAAATGGATTACTACTCAACTAGAGGTTAGATTAAGCTTATATACAACCTCTACAACTCAAATATACCCAAAAATAAGCTTAAAACACTTGAATTCTCTCAACTCCCAAAAACCTATTTTCTAAAATCTTACCCAAAATTAAAGATTAATGGCTTGAAATGAAGCTTAAGGGATGAGGAATATGATTCTTACATTGGTTTCTTCAAACTAGGTTTGGGATTCAAGAAACTTCTATTTTTTTGTTTTCTCTTGGGAATGAAGAAGAAATAAGAAGAAAATAGGAAAGATGGGAGATCTTTTTGGTGGAAGGTTCCCGTGAAATCTAGATAAATAAGGGAGCTTATAACCTTTAAAACCAACTATGGGTAAACTACACTTTTGGTTCCCCTTTTTTTTCTCATACTTAAAACCATCACTTACCCTTAACTCTTGGGCCTTACTTAAGCCCAATACCTATAACTTGGTCCAATTATCTTGGAAAGTCTAATTGGCTTGACTTAGAGGTCTCGGATTGACCCAAACTACTAACCTGAGTTTTGGGTATTACATGGACAATAATATATTGAATGAGATATAATAGTCGTTTAATATTTTAGGACCATATTTTATCTTATCACAGTTTGAAACATATAAATAGTTGAGTTTGTTTAGCTTGGACTGTCATCAATTTTTTAACAGAAAAGGATGACTTTGGAACATATGAATAGTCAATTGATGATTTTGTAACTTTTAATAGTCAGTGGACTCAATAAAGCAATGTTCTATAATCAATGGATCATTTCATACTTTTAATAGTCAATGAACTCAATAAATCACTACCCTATAGTCAGGGGATCATTTGTATACTTTACCCTAAATAATTATATATTTTATATTATTATAAAACATCATTAAATTGATTTTTGAGGTTTAAAAATATATCTATAATTTAAGTTGAGTCTTATATAAAAAATATGAATTTCTATATTGTTGAGCCTATTTTGATATAATAAATTTAAGGGCAAAATTTTTTTGGACTTGATTCAAATTATTCAAAATTAAAAATAATTCAAAGTCAATAAAACTTGAATTTGAACACAAAAATGATTTTCTAGAAAACAAATACTGACATTGTTCTTACAGTATCGATATTGTTCTTGTAGTATCGATACCTAAAGTAAGGGAAATATCGGTACTCTTATGGCAGTACCGATACTGTCTATTGATTTAAGTGTGTTCAGATTACAGTATACAAAATTAGAACCGATACTCAAAGGAGTATCAGCACTACTGTATAGTAGTATCAATACCGTAAACCCTAGTATCAATACTCCCAACCCAACAGTCATAAAATATCTAGTTTTTATTAGTACAATATCGATACTCATCACCCAAGTACTTATATTCCTGGGTCTAAGCAGTTTTATTTTGCAGATTTTTAATCGCAAACGACTCCAAAACATCCCAACAACTAGAAACTCATTTCAACAAATAAAATGAAGTTGAAGACACTTGAAGAAAGTTACAACACCTATACAAGAAATCCACATGAAGAGAAAAGCTTTTTCATTCTTATTTTTCCTTTTCTCTTATATATAAGTTCTTTTAGTGAGCTTAATTGTGTAAACACCTTTCTTTGAGAGGTTTATTATTTACATTTTCTTTATCCTTTTGTAAAAGATGTTTGGTTCTAGTTTAGCCATTGAAACTAGGGAGTTGTAAAAGGTTACTCTTGAGCCTAGAAAAAGAAATAGCAAATTAGTGAATTTGTTAAAAAAATCTTTAGTGTAGAGCTAAGGTAGCGGATGTAGACTTGGTTGATAAGTCGAACCACTATAAATCATTATTCAATTTGTCTATATTTTCTCTCCATACTCACAAAATTTTTATTTGGTCAATTCACCTCCTCTTGACACCATTTTCAGTTAATCAATTGAGCTTCGAAAATCCTAACATATATTGATACAATAAATATAAAAAATTGGCTTTTAATGAAAATAAACTTATTAAAGTTTAAATTCATTAGATCACTTAATTTTTTTTTAAATATTATAGTTTGATGCTTTGTTGAGTCCCTCGACTATTGAAAGTTACAAAATAGTCTCTTGCTTGCGCCCTACCTATGGATATCCGGACTATATATATACTTTAGACACCCTATACTAGAAGAAATTGGGTGTCTGAATTGTTTCCCGAGCATCAACCACGGCTAATTTTATGTCATCCTAATTATTTGGTTTCTATGTTTGAATTAAACATCGTAAATATTCTCACTTGTAGTTTTATTTGATAATATAATAAAGTATTGGTGTACATCGGGTATAATTCCCTTAAAAATGATCATTTTTGCCCAAAATATACTGAAAGTAATGATACTAACCCAAGAGTATTGATACTCCTACAAAAGTTTCGATACTTTATATAAGTACCGATACTTTTAAACATTATATTCTTCCTAGTTTCAATACTTTCTGGGAGTTTCGAAACTATGACTCGAAGTTTCGATACTCTTGAAACAGTATCGATACTTCTGCCCAGAAAACAGTTTTCTACCCAGAAATGAAGAATAAGTATCGATATTAGCCCTATAGTATCGATATTTGACTTGCAGAAGACTTAAAAATAAGCACAAAAATGCTATATTTGACTCCCAAAGACCATTGTAAGGTCCCCAAACATGCTTAAAGTCTTATGTGTCATAAAAAGGGCATAAATAAGGCTTGTGTCATGCTTAAAATTCCAAATCATAAAATCTACCATTGATATGCTCAATAAGCTTATTTCTTACCTTCATGCTATTCAATACATTAACATGACCCACTAAGAGTATAGATAAGTTGTAAATGTGGATACCTTGATTTATAGGCTAAAGCAAAGCTCCAACTCACTCAATGGAAGCTTCTTCCTTCCCTTTTGTATTGGAGGCTTCACCCACTAATCAAGATAATAAAAAGAAGCTTTCTAAATTAACTATGTAATGAAAATAAGGATTAGAATACTTCCAAAAACCTAAATCTAACAAAAACGACCTAGAATCCTTAGATTTATTAAACCTCACAAAAACTCATTTTGGAAACCATAGAGGAAAACTTGCAAAATGGAGCTTAAATTAAAGCTTGAAAAATGGTGATTCATAATCTTACCTTGGATCAAGGTAACTAAGATTGGATTGCTTGAAACTTAGCTCTTGAAAGGAAAGGAGATGAAAAATGCTAGAAGAACGAAGGAGAAGAGTATCTGGTAAAATAATTTTGGGTTTGGTTCATGTGAATATGATATAAAATGGGGGAAAGATTACAGCTTCACTTAAAAATGAGTAAACTACTCTTTAGGTCCCTACACTTTCAAGCCCACAAGAAAATCATCACATTTCCTAATTCTTTTGGGCCCAACTCAGCCCAATTCCCATTAAACTTGGTTCAAACCATTTTAATAAATCTTTTGGGTTCTAAAATGGGTCTCGGGTTGACCGGAACTACTAACCCAGGTTTCGGGGTTTTACAAGATGCTTTTTTTATTGCAATCATGATCGATTTGTATGTTTGAGATGTTGGAACTTGGAAGTGGAACAAGTGCAAACCAAATGCAACCAAGTTTTTCCTTTGATTTCCAGATCCAAGATGATGAACTAACGTGGAGCATGTAATGTTTAATCACAGGCTCACTGGACAATGATGCCAATATTTCATATTGTGATTCTGTTTGGTACTTGTTCGTGTTTGTGATGTATTGATCCTTGCTCATGGTTTTTCATTTGTTCTAATTTTCAGGATTTAATGCGGAGACCATTGAATATAAGAACATCAGTTTCACTGTGTGGGATGTTGGTGGTCAGGACAAGGTATCTGATATTTAGCCTTGTTATTTCAGTAACATTGCAAATGACCATTTGATTTCTGGCACAATAATTGTTAGGACTCTTTGCATAGCCTGATATTCATGTAATGGCTAACCAATAATGTCATTTCTTTTCATTATTAATTGTGCAGATTCGTCCATTGTGGAGGGGCATTACTTCCAGAATACACAGGGTCTCTCTCATTTTTGTGGTAGATAGCAACGACAGAGACCATGTTGTTGAGGCTAGGGATGAATTACACAGAATGTTGAATGAGGTCTTGTAGTTACTTTTTAGTAGATTTTTTTTTCTGTCGCTATTGTTTATGCATGCTCTTTATAGCTGTTGTAAGTGGCTTTTGGATTCTATCTCTACTGTGTTCATATAGAATTACATTTAGTAGCCAAGCCATACGGTAGTAAAACAGCAGCCTAGTGTTTCATAGACTCTATGGTGGTCTGGAAAAGTCCATTGCCCTTGGTTTAAGTTTTGATGAACTTTCATGATCAAAGCATTTTAACCATTTCGTGATTGCAGGATGAACTGGGAGATGCAGTGTTGCTCGTATTTGCAAACAAGCAAGATCTTCCGAACGCAATGAACGCTGCTGAAATAACCGATAAGCTTGGCTTCCATTCCCTTAGACGACGTCACTGGTAAGCATTTACATTGTGTTTTCCTGTTGTAGTTTGCAATCTTGTTGTTCATAAGCACTGAGGTACATCCAGAGCACCTGCCTAACCTTCGGTGAGTGGCTTTATGAGGGTTTGGATCGGCTTTTCAACAACATAGCAAAATGATCGTGAGCTAGTTATCCGTTTATGAGAGTTTGGATCGGCTTTTCGACAACATAGCTAATAAGGTATAAACTGATAACTGGCTCACGATCATTTTGCTTAATCCCTTCAACCTTAATGATCAGACTTTTCGATGTTCTCGCTGTAATATCTACAGTGTTTATAACTCCACGAGGACGAGGGTGAGATAATTTCTGGAATATAATTTCACATCTACTTTGGTAATTGGGTATTGCATTAATTACTTGTGCTGGAACGATTGACATTCATACGCTTCCTGTTTTACGCCTTAATAAGCCCCCATCTTTTGATTTCTACTTTCAAGTGGTTTTACTGTTACAACTTGAAAAATATAATTGAAAATTTATTCATATAAACTATTTTTTTAATAAAAATGCAATTAGAATTATTACATTACAACTTAAAAAAAAAGTTGACCTAAAACAATAATAAATTAACAAATATTAAGATATAATTGTAAATATTTTTATTATGTCATATAATTTCGTCTATTTAAAAATAAACTTGAACTCAAATCTGATCCCGACCCTAAGACTAAACTTGAATAAGTTCAAACCAATAAAGGCCCAAATCCAAAATAATTCAAACCTAAAATAACCCAACCCGAACCTGCACAAATAGGCCGATTGCCACCATGTAATCACTGGCAAGAAGCAATAGGGGAAGACTGCCTAACATCCGAAAGAGTTTCAAACGGAGACATCGTTACAAAGACGTTGATCATATTTCATATAAAAATATTGATGCATCGACATACAGATGACTTCGAACACATTAAAAACTTGAGGATTCATCTGTCAACAGCTGCTTACAACATCCGGTTTCTCCGATGTGACCTCCATCTTTCTTTAATATCACAGACTTGATCGAGCTGGCAACAATGTTCATTTATTTTCTTTGATAACGAAAGCTCCTTGTCCAAAATTTCAGAGTCGCGGCTGCCCTTGATTCTGTCGGCTTCAGCAATTAGATCATTTATCAGCATCTCGGTGGTTTTTGCAGGTATTCCACTTAGATACCAAGAAATGGGTGGGGGAGGAGAGATGGCTGGTTGAATCAGTTGGTCTAAGCTCACCTTTGATCCAATCCTTCCTTTACCTCCGGGACATAAGCAATACTCTGCCCATGTCTTCGGTTTGACAGGAAAACAGGTTTCCTCATCGACAAAAAGCGGTTCAACTCGCCAGTAACCTTCAAACTTTTTCATGAATCCGTTGCTCATTTGTTTGAACCTCATCTGTTAACCATGATCATCAGAATTAAGAGTTAAGCACTAGTAACCCTTGCACAATCTTTTTTGCAAGAAACTTCTGTGTCAAGTAATCTGAGCAAGATAAGTTTAAGCAAAAGAAATCAAGCAAAACTCAGGCTCTGGTTTTTAGTCGATATAGGTATTCTTATCCAAAAAATATATATATATAACTAAGGCTCCAGTATTTAGTCGGATATAGGTATTCTATGTGTTTAGAGATTCTTGGAAAATCATCTCTTCAAAATCATTCCAAATGTGTCAGGCACTCAGGCGCTTTAAGAAAAATGAGAAGTTGGATTAATATAGGCTCAAACTACAAACTCAGCTCCTCAAAAACTGAATTCCTTACGGCCAAGGATCTCTTGTGGAATCTATAAAAGAAAGTAATTGGGGAAGGGGGACAGGAGGGATCCATACCGAGTGATCTTCTCTGTTTTGATCCACTAGAACATGAACTGAGATGGTTCCCGACCACAAAAGGAATCTCCACATGGCTGATTGTTCTACTTCGACCACTTGTCTTTCACCTTCATCAATTAAAACCTTTCATGATACCACCTCCTGAATCCGATTATCAGTTCGTTAAAATAAAAACAGGAAATTTCTAAAACTGCCATTCCCTCATATGGGTAGTTGCTATGTTACTCAGACTTGAGTGTGTTTCGAATTCCTTCATGTGTTTGGAGGGTCCTTTGAGACCATATCCTCATAACGAAGTCCAAACCCATGTCAAACACGGTGCTTTAAAATAAATGAAGTGCTGGAGCAACATAGCGTAATTGTACTGTAATAAAAAAAACTTCAGATTAATTATTGTGGGTGAAAATGTAACACTCACCTTAACGTTTTTGAAAACTCTCCTGTTATCAGGATCAGTGACAATGTTATACACCGCATCTGGGGTAAACTCAACATCAACTGTTGCCTTAAGGTGGCAAAGAGAGCCTTTCACTACACTGACCTGCCAAAAATAACGTTAGATTTCTAGTACTTTGCAAACTGATAGATCATTAGGACAAAAGATCCGATGAAGTAATCAAGAAAGTAAATTGACAGGAATGTGGTGCAAACATTGGATTTATAATTATCTTTCATTATTAGAAACAGTGTTTTTTTCTTAAGTGTCGTCTATATGAACGAAATGGTACTACGGAAGTGACATGAGTATGAGAGACACCGTGTTCTATTTTCTTTTAGTCATTGGAGGATCGTATCCAATATCTATGTCTGGGATAAGCATCGAAAATGAATGTTAGCATCACGAAAAATGAAGAGTCAAAGCAACATAAATGTCGTGTTCTAGACTGATCTAATGCTAAAATCCTTAGTGATAGACACCATGTTTAAAACAAAGGGTGAAACTAGCATCATTCTTGAGAATGAAACAATAAAATTCCAAATACCTCTTTACCTCTATTTCTGGAGGTGGACTGACCCATGAAGGATTTTCTCTCCAAGCTTGCAAATGTTTCCCCTGATCCTTCCACAATCCGACAGATGAACGGTTCTTCTCAAGAAAAGAGTTCACTGATTTTATTCTGTCACCATCTTTGGCTAATCTCTTGAGCTGTGACTGTTACAAAAAGAAAGGGAATTTGTCCGTCAAATTCTAATAACGAGAGAAAAAAGAATCTATGAACATGACATCCATTAAAATAAATTTCGTGCAACGTAAGAGCTATGGCTAACCTTAAGACAGTTTTGAAGTTTGTGAGGAAGTTGAACAAGAAAGGCAGAAAACACTGGATCAAGAACCTTGGATTTTCCATTCCTGGGGATATCTATGTTTACTTTTTTCACTTCCATTCTCACCTGTGAAAGGTGAATATAAGCAGGCCTTAATCCATTACCAATTAACACATGTATTCTTATCCTTTCAAAATTTCTGATATTTTGGGCGGATCAGCAATAGTGGAAATTTTCATCTTTGCTTGGCAGCAGGATAATTTTGATAACTACTCATAGTTATATTGCTATGACTTTTCATTTTTCTTAAATGCCCGTATCTGACACATGTTCATATATGGATAAGAAGATATGGCCACCAAAACTAAAAGATAAAAAATTGAACATACTTTTGTAATCTGATACAACCGAGATAGTGTAGCGTAGGCACTTAATTATCGATTTCTTGACTATGTTGCATTTTAAATGTTAGATTCAAAAATCTGTATAGCTTTGAAGTACAAATGAAAGATATAGCATAGAACCACAGCTTATTTATCAAGTCTAAATGAAAATTTGTCAGCCTATGTTGAGTCACTTGGAGTGCAAGTGATGAATATGAGTGAGTCCTAAACACAGGTATTTTTTTCTTCTAAACTTTTCCATAAATTTGAAGTGTCTTTGGAGGATCATATCATCATATCGGTTATGTGCCCAACATAGATGTCAGATACAAGTACTTCAAGAAAAGTGAAGACAAAGTAGATCTTATGCACCAAAGATAAGAAGAAACAGACCCTTAGTTAAACTAGTAAACCACACACTACAATTATACACTCTTTAGGACTATCTGTTGTATCTGTAAATATAGGACCTTAGGACATACGCATTCAGGTTGAATCAAGAACATTATGTCGTATATTTAATTTCATCTATATTACTGAGATTTGGTTCTAGTGTTGGACAAGAGTCTATATTGAGTACAGATCCGTTCAATACTTTTCAAGATTTTCATGTAGTTGGAAATTTGAGGGAACAATATTTTTATGCACCAAAGATTTTCAATATAGACGTCCAACACTCAATATGTACCCAACATAGATGTCAGATGCATGTTTTACCCTCAAATCTGTTCAAAATTTATCAAGTCTAAATGAAAATTTGTCGCCCTAACATTGTCTAAATATGCATCAAATTTGAGGGTAAAACATGGATGCTTCAAGAAGAAAGAAGTCATAACAATATATATAACTTTTCATCAGTTAATTAACAGAAAGTACATCTTTTAAAGGAAGTAATTTTTACTTGGAAACGCTGGAAAAAGTCCTACAATCAGATTAAACTAACAATAATCCCCAAAGATCAACCTATGAAACAATTAATCAAATCAAGTTAATCTCTAAAGAAATTCCGCATAAATCTAAATTCAAGATTTCCCTTCAAGACAGATCAATTGGAATCACAATCCATCAATACAATGTTTTTGAATATTTAAATGCGAATTTCATTTGTTACATAAATTGTAAAAAAATATATATGAAACTCAAAATCATAAATATCTACATGAATTTCAAATTCACCCCTAAATAGACATCCAAGAAATCCACAGATTACATTTATATATTGTCTATCATCGAATTTTACACCAGTCTAAAATCCGAAATCCAAATTCCTAAATGCAACCTAAAACGTTGTAATCAAAAGATAAAAGGCAGATACAAGAAAACTGAGAAACAGAAACCGAAAAACGAACATCCCAACAGAAATCGAACAACTTTTTGCGATGAAAAATTAAGAAAAATAATCAGAGAAAAAAGGGTTCAACTTACAGTATGAATCTGGGGACAAGAATATTCATTCCAGTTGATACCCCAAGTGAAAAGAAACAAGAAAACAAAACCCAAGAGTTTAAAACTCAGCAAATTGGCAATGGGAAATTGAAAGGGGGTAGCTTTTTCCTTTGGAAGTCTAGAGGTCAGGCGGCAAAAGAGATGAAGCACA